CTGGACTCCCACGTTGTCGACTGCGGTTCGAGTCCCGGACCCAGTGGCTTAAACTCATGCTGGGCGCATGTGCGTATGTGCCCAGAATCCCAAGAGGAGAATGGAGAAGGGATTGTGGCGTGGCCATCTCCCCTGGGGGGTAATTTCTCGCTTTCTATCTCTCTGTCTTTCTGGCAAGCACACACGCTCTATAGTGAAAACCTTTCCAAATAAATAAACAAACAAACCAACAGAAATGGTAAGTGCCGGCGGGGGTGGTAAAAGGGGAACTCTCTAGACAGCTGACCGCTGGTGGGAATGTAAATTGAACTACTGAATCTCTATGTAGGAGAACCGAAGCCCAGTGATGGAAGGGCAAGGGCGTGCCCAGAGGAGGTTGTGGCAGAGCCAATGTAACCAGGGAGAGCAGTGGTCAGCCTCCCTGTGCAGAGGTGGAAACCGAAGCCACAGAGAAGAGGAGACACAGCTGGCCCCTGCTCAGCAGTTGCCAAAGGTCACTTGTCCTGTATGTGGCCTCCCCTCGTCCTCCATGTCTAGGAGGGATGAGTTATCACATACCCATTTTAATTATTTATTTATTTTGCATTTTAAAAATTATTTTGATTTTTTTATTATTATTATTTTAATTTTCTTTTTTTTTTAAGAATTGTTTTATTGAGCTTTATTTATGTATTTATTTTCATTTGACCAGAGAGGGACAGAGTAAGAGAGAGAGAGAGGGAGAGGGAGAAAGCAAGCTGCCAGGTCTAGGATTCAAACTGTGGTTGGCCATGTGGGAGTCCAGAACCCTTACCCACCATGCCACCTGCTGGCCCCAGTTATTATTTTAATTTGCTGCAGGGCACATGCGCTCACCAGAGAGAGAGAGAGGGAAAGTCAGAAAGCAAGCTGCCAGGCCCAGGACTCGAACCATGGTTGGCCATGTGGGAGTCCAGTGCCTTAATCACACCATCTGCCATCAGATAAATAACTTTAAAAGTTAACACCCTCTCCCACTGGTCTATAAACTTCAGGAGAGTAAGGACCTTCTGTTCCTCCCCTACCCTGTGTCCCAGCCTCTGTGTACTGACAGGCATGCACAGAAACTTAAGAGAATGAGGGGCCCGCAGGTGGTGTGGCGGTTAAAGCTACTGGACTCCCACATGGCTGACTACGGCTTGAGTCCTGGACCTGGCCTCTTGCTTTCTCACTTTCCCTTTCTCTCTCTCTCTTTCTCTGGTCAAATTAAATAATAATAAAAACAAACAAATAAATAAGTCTTAAGGAAAAAATAGTAAGAGAATGAACGGGAGGGGCTATGGCCAGTGGGGCACTGCCACCCGTGTCCGTGCCCGCATAGTTGGGGGCTAGGGAATGGCAGAGTTTTGTCACAGAGCCTGGACAGTGAGTCAGGGCTGGCTCCTTAAAACTAAGTGCAATTCCTGTTGAGCAAGCACCTGGGAGGGGCCCGCTGAGGCCTGAGAGCTTCTCCCCTACAAAGGCTTGGGCTCTCGTCCTGCCCCCAGTCTCCTTTGCTTCCTCTCAGAGCAGACTCAGGCCGTGGTGCCAGGTCCTAGAGGAAGGCCCGCCCCCAAGGCCACCAGTGGGATTAGAAGGGGGCAAGGTCCTCAGAGAGCACCCTGACAGATCCATTCCCAAGAGATGCGGAAACTGAGGCCCACACTGGAAAATAGCGCCTTGACACAAGTCCAGGACCGAGTTAGGGCCCGATCCTGCGTCCCCCAACAGGTCAGCGGGTGCTTTCTACTCTACCCAGTTTCCTGCCTTCACCGGAATTGCTGAGACCTGGGGAGGGCGTGGCTATAACTGCTGATGTCCCCTCCAGCTTCCTCACATAACTCGTGTCCAGTGCCATCCTGCGTATCCGGCCAATTCCTGAAGGTGCTATTTTCTTTAAAATTCCCCTATCAGGGTCAGTAGTGGTGTGGTGGTTAAGGCGCTGGACTCCCACATGGCCAACTATGGTTCGAGTCCCAATCCTGGCAGCTTTCTCTCTCTCTCTCTTTCTAATCTCTGACTCTCTCTAGTGAGCATATGTGCCCTATAGCAAATTTTAAATAGTAATAATTAAATTACATTTAAAAATGTTAATTCGGGATCAGCAGTTGGCGTAATGGCTATGTTGCTGGACTCCCACGTAGCCAACCACGGTTCGAGTCCCGTAACTAGTGGCTTAAACTCACGCCGGGCGCGTGTGCATGTGTGTCCAAGATCCCGAGAGGAAAATGGAGGAGAAGGGATTGTAGCATGGCTATCCCCCCTGGGGGGTGATTTCTCGCTTTCTGACTCTCTATCTCCCTCTTTCTGGCGAGCGCATGCGCCCTATATCAAAAACCTCTTAAAAAAAAAAAAAGTTAATTCCCCTTATCACTTTGAAAGAGCTGCTATTAGCACGTCCATTTTACAGATGAGGAACCTGGCTCAGAGAGAGTCCGTCCCAGGTCACACAGTCACTGTGGCAACTGTGGCACACACCGGGTGTGTGTGTGTGTGTGTGCGTGTGTGCCCAAAATCCTGAGAGGAGAATGAAGAAGAGATTGTGACATGGCCATTCCCCTGAGGGGGTGATTTCTCACTTTCCTTCTCTGTTTCTCTCCAGCAAATGCACACCCCTCTGGCATTTAAAAAAAAAAAGAAAGAAAGAAAAGGGGAAAAAAAAGAAACACACCAGGCACTTGTGCATGTATGCCCACAATCCTGATCAGAGGGGAAAATGGAGGAGTTACAGCATGGCCACACACCATGAAGGCTTTCTCCCTGTCCCTCTCTCTTGTTTTTCTGTCTCTCTCCAGATCCCATATGGCTGACCAGAGTCTGAATCCTGGCCCCAGTGGCTTGAAAAACAAGCTGGGCACATGTGCATGCATGTCCAGAATCCTGATGAGGTTGAGAAATGGAGGAGACTGGATTACAGTGTGATCATGCTTCATTAAGGAGAGTTTTGTCCTGCTGTCTGTCTGTCTCCATCATTCTCTGGCAAATGCATGCACACTTTGGCAAAAAAGAAAAAGATTTGGGCAAGCAGGTGACATAGTGGTTAAGGTGCTGGACTCCTACATGGTCAACCACAGTTCAAGTCCTGGACCCAGCAGCTTGAAACTCATGCTGGGCACGTATGCATATTTGCCCAAAATCCCAAGAAAAGAATGGAGCAGAAGGGATTGCAGCAAGGTCATTCCCTTAGAGGATAATTTCTCACTTTCTCTCTCTTGCTCTCTGTCTCTCTCTGTCTGTCTGGCGAGTGCATGAGCCCTATAGCAAAAAATCTCTGTCTCTCTCTAAAAAAGAAGCTTATTTATGTATTTATTCTGTGAGAGAGTGAGAGAAAAACAGGCACCTGAACACCCCTGCCACAGTCCACTTCAGTCCCAGCCAGCCCAGAGTCTGTCTGCCGAGTGCACGCGCCCTATAGCGAAAAAACCTCTCCAAAAAAAAAAAAAAAAGTAAAGAAATCGATTCATAGTAACCACACCATTCTCTGAGGGCTGCCTGCCTGCCATGTGCCAAGGGCCTGCTGTACGTTAACCCACTGAAACCCCACATCAGCCTGGGGAGAGGGTTACCATTTTTTAAAGAAATATTTATTTATTCAATTCCATCATTATTATTATTATTATTATTATTATTATTATTATTATTTACTTTGAGTAGAGAGAGATAGAGAGAAAGGAAAAGTGAGAAAGCAAGCTGCCAGGTCCAGTACTTGAACCGTGGCTGACTATTTGGGAGTTCAGCACCCTAACCACCATGCCACCTGTTGGCCCCACCATTATTATGTCTTTAATTGCCGGAGGGCACATGCATGCACATGCATACATGAGAGAGAGAACATTCTCCAATGGGATATGGTTGGGCTGTAATTCCTTCTCCATTTCTCTACCCTGCCAGGATTTGGGGCATCCATACGCATGCATCTGCAATGTTTTCCATCCTCCAGGGCTGGGATTCGAACCACAGTCAGCCATGAGGGATCTGGCTCCCTATGCACAGTGCTTAACCTTTGCATGAAGGAGCCGGCCTAGTCACCGTTGTTATGATCCTTATTTTACAAATGAGACAAGGAGTTTTAGAGAAGAGAAGAATGGCAGCTGACTAATGGTTCCCGAAGATACGACATCCCAATCCCTGGAACCTCACTATGTCACCTTGGAAAAGGGGGCATTGTAGATGAGATCATGCGAAGGATCTTGAGATGGAGAGATTGTCCTACATTTAACCAAGTGGATCCAAAATGGCATCACGAGTGTCCTTACAAGACAGGAACAGAGGGAGACTTTACACGTGTGTGTGTGCGCACAAAGGGCACGTGGAGGTGATCAGAGTGATGCAGTCACAAGCCGGGGAACACCTAGAGACATCAAATGCTGGAAAAAGCAAGGGCTGGATTCCTCTTATTTATTTATTAGTTTTGGCTATAGGGTGCATGCACTTGCTGGAGAGGAATGGAGGGTGGGGGAAGTGAGAAATCACCCTTCAGAGGGGATGGCCATACTGCAATCCCTTTTCCGCCATTCTCCTCTCAGGATGTTGGGCGTGCAAGCACATGTATGTGGCATATTTTCCAAGCTGCCAGGTCTGGGATTTGAACCACACAGTTGGTCATGTGGGATCCAGCTGCCTTAACCACGACATCATCTGGCTGGCTCAAGGAATGGATTCCTCTCCAGAATTTTCTGGAGTGTGGGTGACACAACACCTTCATATTGCCACAGTGATACCGATTTTGGATTTCTGGCCTTCAGAACAGGGAAAAAAAATAGTCTATTTCTCTAGTTTTAATCCACCAAGTATGGAGACCAGCAGATGGAGTAATGCTTATGTTGCTGGACTCCCACATGGCTGACTGCAGTTTGAGTCCTAGACCTGGAGGTTTGAATTTCACAGGGTGTGTGTGTGTGCGTGCTCTAAATCCCAGGAGGAGAATGGAGGAAAAGGGATTGCAGCATGACCATTCCCCCTTGGGGGGTTATTTCTTACTTTCTGTCTCTCTGTCTCTCTAGAGAGTGCACGCACCCTATAGAAAAATCTCTCTGGGAAAACAAACAAACAAAAACCAAGTATGCGGCCATTTGTTACAGCGGCAACAGGAAATTTATACAGAAAACGACTTGCCCAAGGCCGCACCACTAGGAAATGGAGGTAAGCCTCCCACATGGGTGTTCAGTACACCTGAGCTGTCCTCATTGCTACCTGCTGCCCCCGGAGGGGCTGAGTTTGCGGATGAAGTGTCCAGAGGGCCGCGAGCTTGGCCTACTTAATTCATGCCAGCAGATATCGGGGAGGGGCAGTCTGTGTAACCGTGGTTCAGTTAGGGAAGATGCTATTAACCCTGGGTGGAGCTGACACAGGAAAATGAAGAAACTGGTCAGGCTGGTCCTGCAGATGGATTCGGGAGGGTGTTGGCGAGTCACAGAGAAGAACCCGTAGCCCAGCAATCCTCAAAGATGAGGTGGCTCCTCTGTCTGGTAGTGTCACCCCCACATAAAGACGACTCTGTTTTTTATTGAATCCTCATCTTCCTTGGGTCAGATAAACACTCAGCAGATACCTGTGGGCTGTGCGATGCCTGCTGGGTACAAGAAGCCAAGGAAAGGGGGAAGTTTATGTGGCTCCCCTCCTCCCTGGCCCTCTTCCCCTCCCTTCTCTTTCTTTCTATTCTTGAGCAATTTATTCTAAAAGTCGTTAGGTGGGTCCCAGCAGGGGAGAAGCAACAACAGGGAGAGATCCAGGAAGGATGTTGGAGTCCCCATGGGATAAGGAGGGTGTCTGCATGGGGTGGAGGGGCCCAGTGTGGCAGGGAAGGGGATCAGATCTCATGCAAGTGAGGGGGACATCCTCTTGGAAAGGCACTCAGCAGGGGTGTCAGAGCTTACGGGGTTCCAGTCCTGCTTATCCTTCCTGGGAGCGGAGGGGCAACAGCAACAATGGAAATTGTTTCATATGGCGGGGACTGGTCAGATAAGGGAGCAAGGGAAGAACAAGGACACCAGGTCTCTCGCTGTGGGAATAAATACAGGGGGGTGTGTGTCCAAGCCCAGTCTGGTGGTGCAGGCCAAAGTGAACAGAGCCGCGGTACTTGAAGCATGGAGCTGACCAAAGGCTCAGGTCCCCAGCCTGGCCCAGTTGACTTAAAACACATTTGGTACACACGTGTGTGCCCCTGATGATCTGGAGTGCTGGGGAAAGGGGCTGATGTGGTGACAAGCCCCGTTGAGGATGTTCTTGCTCTCATGAGTGCACACTTTCTGTTATCAATAAAACAAACTCTGGGGACCAGCAGTTAGCGTAATGGCTATGTTGCTGGACTCCCACGTAGTCAACTACCGTTCGCGTCCCGGACCCAGTGGCTTGAAACTCATGCTGGGCGTGTGTGCGTGCATACCCAAGATCCCGAGAGGAGAATGGAGGAGAAGGGATTGCAGATTGGCCATCCCCCCTAGGGGGTGATTTACCACTTTCTGTCTCTCTGTCTCTCTCTGTCTGTCTGGCAAGCACACGCGCCCTATAGCAAAA